TGCTAGATTCACTCGGGGATGGGGGGGGGGGGTGGTCTGAGCACTTCTGGACTGCACGATAGATTGTTCAGTGAGCATGATCTGTTAACTGACAGCATGATCTGTTAACTGACAATCTCTAGATTTTGCATTTGAAAGTTTGTTGAAACAGTCAAATGGATGGAAAGTAAATTTTTATTGTTATTTTCCGCTATTGTGGATTAACATCTCGAGGATAATAAAAAAATCAAACAGGTACACATTCAAGAACCCCTGTTCAGAGTTATGATAAGGGAGCAGCCGATGTTTGGGAATTACCTTGTAGACCGGTGTAAGTGGGTGCTAACAATGGATCAGATGTGAAAGATGTTGTATTATGTTATCACACTTGATGACATTGCACAGTCGGTATTCCAATGCACCAGCCACTAAGAGGTACTTCTGCTAATTGTTCCTATGACAAGCTGGTTATGTCTCCTATCTCGGCCTCGCAGGCGGCGTAGACGTGCTTCATTTCACTCCAATGTCACGCATTCGTGTTAGTGTCCGAGATTCGCCATTATCCACCAATGTAGTCTGTACAGCGTTGATGCTATCGGCTCTGTCCATGCTTCTTCCTTCGTGTACTGTTGCTTGGCTTGCTGGCTGGTCAGCTTCGACATTGCCAGGTGTATAGCTCCAGGTTCAATGTTGAATGTTGAATTAGGAATCGATATCATAGCATTCAGTAACACTCTGTCCCCATCTTTAGCAGTAAACGAATTCCAATTCTGATGACACCAATAACTGTCTGATTGTATTTCCGTCTCACATTTCCCTTGAGTGTTGAGCGTCTCCCAGATCTCCTGGTAACTCCCCACAGCGCCATTCTCCTCAGACCGTAATGATCTATTTGCGCTTCCGCGCTGTTAACTTGCTCCCAGAGGGCTCTTACAGCATCTAGCTTGTCATACATCAGTTCACCACCAAGTGGTGCAGAACCGGCTAGTCTGTCTGCCCTCTCATTTCCCAACACACCGGCATTCGTGGAAAAAATATCCAAATGATGTTAACTACTCGGGATCTCTAAAGTGATGCTTGCCACTCTGCACGGAGCATGCCTGTCTCCACCTTTCTCATCCTACTCTGTGAGTCAGTGACAATCACGGCATGTGTGTACAGCTGATTCTTAAGCCAGCGGAATTCTGGTCCAGGTGAGGAAGGTTAGGTGCGACTTCCGAATGCTGTCTGCTTATTGAGAATGAGTGTTTTATAAAATATGTTTATTGTTAGCCCCCGGTAGATTTCTGGTAGATTATTCTACCAGTGTCAGTGGGCCGGCTCCAGTTTCGAACGTACAACTTCCAAATATTTGATAGCAGACACTGAACATAAACATAACATGAATTAGTTAGTTAGTAGTTAGTTGGGTTATCATCATTGCACTCCGAACATGCCCATAGGTGCTCATATCCTCCCCTCAGTATGAACCCCAACGTCCGATGGCTAATAGTACCAGTTCTATGACGATTAACAAGTCTTCTGGTGTGAGTCTCGTTTTTTGCTATGCCGATCTTAATCCCCAAGTCTGCCATTCTCTCGAGTGATGTGGATTCACTGCCACCAGAGTCCTCTATCCTTCCCATTTCTCTGAGGGCATTGATAATATCAGCATGATCCATAGGCCGACCGTCGGTAGTGATAGCGGATCCTGCCAACCTGTCAGTTTTTTTCATTTGCTTCGACGCCTGCGTATCCCGGAACAAAACTAAAGGTGACTCCACGCACAGTGGACTTCTGTAATGATTTAAGCCATTGCCTTCGCACTGAACCTGCCTGAACCCTCCGGATCATACTAATAAAATCACTGAGTATTATACATACGCGGGTGTATTTTTGTTCTTCGAGCCAGGCGAACGCTTGCGCCACATGAATAAATATAATGAAAGCTCCCTGCCTGGTGGTATGTGTCAGAGCTGCCAATGATGGGTTTTACCCCCAGATCTGGGTTTTTATTTGACGCTCTGGGTTCAAATTTTGAAATCTGGGTTTTTTAAAAATATCTCGCTATATAAAAGTGGGTAAATGTTTCATTTCATAACTAGAAAATTTGTATTGCTTGGGTTTTTGTTCAGCTTAGCTGGGTTTTTCAAAAAAAATCCCATTGACAGCCTTGGTATGTGTACTACGTGAAACACACAAACATGGCGTCCAACGTCATCGCTAAGACATTCTGTGCTGGTAAAATTGGTAAGATGAATATTTATTTGAAATCAAATTTCACTGCCCTTGTCAGATTCAACATGGACAACCGAAGAATGCACTACATCGACACTGTCTCCTGTTATACCGAAGAAAAGTTAAAATTCTGTCCAGCAGATGCTGCTTGACGTTTTGAGTCCCAGGGGTTTAGTTTAGTCAAAGTTCAAAGGCTCTCCTCCGAACTTCTACTCCCGCAGTATTGTGGCCTGAAATATCCGTTCGGGGCGCAGTCCAATTAAAAATACGGACTTGTCGGAGTTCCCGCCGAGGAACAAATTGCGGCAAAACTAGAAGTACCTTACGATGTCACGAGACGCAACATTGCTGACGATAAAAGCGACTGGTGACAACACAATGTCAAGCGTTTTCTGAAGACGATACTAGCAGACGATAAAAGCAACCGTTGACAATTTCGAGACATTAAAGACGATGAAAGCGATATGGCGAGTAGACCACGCGCTCCCACGCAGATTAGTAATACTGTTCTTCCGAAAGAGGATTTAGCAGCGGTAGATGTCAGACTTGTCGGCATGTGCAAAACGCGATACGCCGAGCGTATCCCCCACGCCGCTGCGCGCGGCTCGGATGGGAACTAAACTAGGTGCCTGGGACTCACGAGCAAAGTAATTGAAGGAAGTTGCAGGAGATGCGGTAGCTGCTGCTCGTGAATCCCAGCCACTTAGTTTAGCCCCTATCCTCCGCTACGCGCAGCGCGGGGAATACGGTCGGTAGTGAGGCATAGTCACAGAAACAGGTCCGCAAGTAACATATCGCTGAGACCCTTTTAGAGCATTTGTTTCGTTATACGGAGCCGGCATATTTTTAATTGGACTGCGCCCCGAACTGATATTTCAGGCCACACTACTGCGGGGTAGAAGTTCGGAGGAGAACCAGTATCAAAGACTCAAGGGTCGGTAATGTAGTTTCACTTTCACATTGAAACAGATGATACTAATTCAACTGCCGCGCAACATACACATAGTATACATCAAAGTGACCAGGGATTATTCACCAATAATATTAGAATACTACTGGATCATTTGTTCTACATTCAGTCACAATAGATAAAGTGTATCATTTATTCTACATTTAGTCACAATAGATAAAGTGTATCATTTATTCTACATTCAGTCACAATAGATAAAGTGTATCATTTGTTCTACATTCAGTCACAATAGATAAAGTGTATCATTTATTCTACATTCAGTCACAATAGATAAAGTGTATCATTTATTCTACATTCAGTCACAATAGATAATGTGTATCATTTATTCTACATTTAGTCACAATAGATAAAGTGTATCATTTATTCTACATTCAGTCACAATAGATAAAGTGTATCATTTATTCTACATTTAGTCACAATAGATAAAGTGTATCATTTATTCTACATTTAGTCACAATAGATAAAGTGTATAATTTATTCTACATTCAGTCGCAATAGATAATATGTATCATTAATTCTACATTAAGTTGCAATAGATAAAATGTATCATTTATTCTACATTCAGTTGCAATAGATAATGTGTATCATTTATTATACATTCACTTGCAGTAGATAATGTGTATCATTTATTCTACATTCAGTCGCAATAGATAATGTGTATCATTTGTTCTACATTCAGTCACAATAGATAAAGTGTATCATTTATTCTACATTCAGTCGCAATATATAATGTGTATCATTTGTTCTACATTCAGTCACAATAGATAAAGTGTATCATTTGTTCTACATTCAGTCACAATAGATAAAGTGTATCATTTATTCTACATTTAGTCGCAATAGATAAAGTGTATCATTTGTTCTACATTTAGTCACAATAGATAAAGTGTATCATTTGTTCTACATTTAGTCACAATAGATAAAGTGTATCATTTATTCTACATTTAGTCACAATAGATAAAGTGTATCATTTATTCTACATTTAGTCGCAATAGATAAAGTGTATCATTTGTTCTACATTCAGTCACAATAGATAAAGTGTATCATTTATTCTACATTCAGTCGCAATAGATAAAGTGTATCATTTGTTCTACATTCAGTCACAATAGATAAAGTGTATCATTTATTCTACATTTAGTCGCAATAGATAAAGTGTATCATTTATTCTACATTTAGTCGCAATAGATAAAGTGTATCATTTATTCTACATTTAGTCACAATAGATAAAGTGTATCATTTATTCTACATTTAGTCGCAATAGATAAAGTGTATCATTTGTTCTACATTTAGTCACAATAGATAAAGTGTATCATTTATTCTACATTTAGTCGCAATAGATAATGTGTATCATTTATTCTACATTTAGTCGCAATAGATAATGTGTATCATTTGTTCTACATTCAGTCACAATAGATAAAGTGTATCATTTATTCTACATTCAGTCGCAATATATAATGTGTATCATTTGTTCTACATTCAGTCACAATAGATAAAGTGTATCATTTATTCTACATTTAGTCGCAATAGATAAAGTGTATCATTTATTCTACATTTAGTCGCAATAGATAATGTGTATCATTTATTCTACATTTAGTCGCAATAGATAAAGTGTATCATTTATTCTACATTTAGTCGCAATAGATAAAGTGTATCATTTATTCTACATTTAGTCGCAATAGATAATGTGTATCATTTGTTCTACATTTAGTCGCAATAGATAATGTGTATCATTTGTTCTACATTCAGTCGCAATAGATAATGTGTATCATTTGTTCTACATTCAGTCGCAATAGATAATGTGTATCATGTATTCCCGTTTGCTGTTTCTTTAAATTAGGTATCCAGCAGCTGACCTTGATCTTGAGAAGATCCAGGAATGCGTTTCCTGGTTCACTTCGATCCATCTCTGATGTCACCAAAGATGATCAGTTTGACACTCGGCAACTGCAAATTTTGGCATGTCCTTTGTCAAAGAAGCCCTTGCGGTAATTTTATAAATACTTTGGAAGCCTATCCCTAGTTTTATACGAATAATTTGTTCTGCTCAACACAAAAGCATGTAAAGTGAATTGATTTTAGTATGCATTACATAATGATCACTATAGTTTCAAAAGAAGAAAATAAGTAAGATAAAATATATGTCTAGCACTACATGCCCGATACTCCTGAATGTGTGGAAAAGGGTCCTATACTTTACTGACTGTATGCCTCATGTGCCTAAAGTGTGGAGAAAAGGGTCCTATACTTTACTTTACTGACTGTGTGGAGAAGTCCTGTGTCTCATGTGCCTAAAGTGTGGAGAAAAGGGTCCTATACTTTACTGACTGTATGCCTCATGTGCCTGAAGTATGGAGAAAAGGGTCCTATACTTTTCTGACTGTATGCCTCATGTGCCTTAAGTGTGGAGAAGGGTCCTATACTTTACTGACTGTATGCCTCATGTGCCTGAAGTGTGGAGAAAAGGGTCCTATACTTTACTGACTGTATGCCTCATGTGCCTGAAGTGTGGAGAAGGGTCCTTTACTTTTCTCACTGTATGCCTCATGTGCCTTAAGTGTGGAGAAGGGTGCTTTACTTTTCTGACTGTATGCCTCATGTGCCTGAAGTGTGGAGAAGGGTCCTATACTTTACTGACTGTATGCCTCATGTGCCTGAAGTGTGGAGAAGGGTCCTATACTTTACTGACTGTATGCCTCATGTGTCTGAAGTGTGGAGAAGGGTCCTTTACTTTACTGACTGTATGCCTCATGTGCCTAAAGTGTGGAGAAGGGTCCTATACTTTTCTGACTGTATGCCTCATGTGCCTGAAGTGTGGAGAAGGGTCCTATACTTTACTGACTGTATGCCTCATGTGCCTAAAGTGTGGAGAAGGGTGCTTTACTTTACTGACTGTATGCCTCATGTGTCTGAAGTGTGGAGAAGGGTCCTATACTTTACTGACTGTATGCCTCATGTGCCTGAAGTGTGGAGAAGGGTCCTTTACTTTTCTGACTGTATGCCTCATGTGCCTAAAGTGTGGAGAAGGGTGCTTTACTTTACTGACTGTATGCCTCATGTGCCTGAAGTGTGGAGAAGGGTCCTATACTTTACTGACTGTATGCCTCATGTGTCTGAAGTGTGGAGAAGGGTCCTATACTTTACTGACTGTATGCCTCATGTGTCTGAAGTGTGGAGAAGGGTCCTATACTTTACTGACTGTATGCCTCATGTGTCTGAAGTGTGGAGAAGGGTCCTATACTTTACTGACTGTATGCCTCATGTGCCTAAAGGTGTGAAGAATCTTTACTTATGCTTTGACCCAGTGACCTCACTCATTGAGGTTTACAAGAAAATTTGATATCAACTTGGCTTCACAGGAAAACCTCCCTGAATGCTTTTTTAAGTCAGTATATTCATATCCGTCGGCTCTGTGGCTAAGTCGATGGGAATGCTTCGCTTCGTAATGCCGGGATGCCAGGTTCGATCCCAGCTGCGGGCAATGCGACTTGCGTTGGTTTCCACAGAGGTATCAAGAAAGCCGACCGCCCAAAAAGCAATGACAAACTACTGGATGTAAATTTGCCTAGAGAAACCACACAACAGCCAGGGGCTGTTAGGGTTGGTTCTGCAACGTCCTGTAAAGGATACGCAACTAACTTTATATTCATATCCAGGCCAGGCCTCCTAAACAGTGTGCGAGCATAAACAGAACCAATGGCATTTTACCATGCTTTTTGAGAACGGGTCAGTGAAGAAATGCCTTGCATCCACAGACATTTACAGAGAAGTTGTCACAACTAAAATAAACTTGATCTAGTCTTTTTGAGATCTGTTTTTTACAGTTGCAAAAAATGTGCTAGCCCTTTTTTTTTTTTTTTGCAGTCACAAATTATAGTGTACTTTGCCTGTCTGTTTCTTATTGATGCGTAAAATATACTTTTATTATAGCTCAGTCAGGTGTTTCTTAATGGAACCAGGGAATAAGATAGTCTAAGTATGTCTATTTAGTAACACGCCCAGTGATCAAATAATTCATGCCAGATTAAAGTTGTTTATTGTAACAGTATAATTCCAGTTCAAGTACGACACTGATTTCTATTATACAGTGATGATGAACACTTCAGGTTATAGTTGTTATAAACGAATGCTTGATAAATACTTCTAACACAAAGTAAAACTGTCTTTCTTCTAAAGAAGTGTATGCTGTGTTCTCTCTTAAGTACATCTTATTTACTACTCAATGTAAACCTATCTCTTGTCTGGATGGCCTAACCCCAGTATGGAAACCTATTTCTTGTCTGGATGACCTTACCACTGTATAAAACCTATCTCTTATCTGGATGTCCTAATTACTGTATGAAACTTATCTCTTGCGTGGATGACCTAATCACTGTATGAAAACCTATATCTTGTCTGAAGGACCTAACCACAGTATGGAAACCTATCTCTTGTCTGGATGACGTAATCACTGAATGAAAATCTATCTCTTGTCTTAATAACCTAATCACTGTATGAAAACCTATCTCTTGTCCGATTGACCTAATCACTGTATGGAAACCTGTCTCTAGCCTGGTTGACTTTGTCATATGGTATCATTGGTCAGTCACATGGTATCATTGGTCAGTCACATGGTATCATTAGTCAGTCACATGATATCATTGGGCAGTTTCAGGGTATCATTGGGCAGTAACATGGTATCATTGGTCAGTCACATGGTATCATTGGTCAGTCACATGGTATCATTGGTCAGTCACATGGTATCATTGGTCAGTCACATGGTATCATTGGTCAGTCACCTGGTATCATTGGTCAGTCACCTGGTATCATTGGTCAGTCACCTGGTATCATTGGTCAGTCACATGGTACCATTGGTCAGTCACCTGATATCATTGGTCAGTCACATGGTATCATTGGTCAGTAACAGGTTATCATTGGTCAGTCACCTGGTACCATTGGTCAGTCACATGGTATCATTGGTCAGTAACGTGGTATGTCAGTGTCTGTCTGTTATGTCAGCCTCTGCTAGCATTCTCACCCTGTGGTTCTCCTTGGCAGGTACGATGAGCAGCAGAAGGAACTTGTGTGTGATGAGCTTGCTGTGGCCTATCCCATCGTGAAGGGGATCCCTTACCTGAACCCGCAGGATGGGAGAGTCATTGGCAGCCCCCGCCAGGAAGGGAGAGTCATTGACAGCCCCTGCCAGGATGGATCTGGGCCTGGTCACTCAGCAGCCTGACCCCAGCATCTCATGATCATCATGTAGCAGTTCCTTCACAGAGCATAGTTATCATCACAATCTGCCTGAAAGAAACTCAAGTCTCTCATCAGATCACCAGCCTCATGTACTTTCCTATCCAAGGTATACTTATATTGTGTGCCCATCTTCATGCTGGTCAGTCCCTACCCTCTTTCCTGATGCCTTGTGCTATTTTCTGTGATGCCTGATATGGCCAAACAAATTTCACTTTCGAAGACAAGATGCTGTTCACTAACCCACTCAGTCTTTCTTGAGATTCAGATCTTTAAGGATGTTGGTCATTCTTTAATTCTTGGCCCATGGTATTCTGAGAATCTCTCTGTAGCATTTCAGTTCAAATGCCCCAGTTTTTCTTCACAGATGACCTTGTTCCCTTACAAACATGTTGTGAAAGTAGACCAATGAGGGCTGTTTCCTTCGAAGTCAGAGCCACGCATCTGCCTGAGAAGTGAGGAACCAATAGTCTGCATACAAATATACAGATTTGTAAAATGGGTGTGCATGCAAATCTCAAACTGTTGAGCAAGACCAAAGTCCAAAAGTGGACAGACAAGCATAACTTTATCCCCCAGAGTTGGTGGCCAGTGAACATGAGGAAGATAAGCTGACTGAGGTGGTTGTTGGTTGGGGAGACACCTGTACAGCTGAGGTCATCTAGTTGTGTTGACTGAGATGGTTGTTGGTTGGGGAGACACCTGGACAGCTGAGGTCACCCAGTTGTGTTGACTGAGATGGTTGTTGGCTGGGGAGACACCTGTACAGCTGAGGTCATCCAGTTGTGTTGACTGAGATGGTTGTTGATTGGGGAGACAGCTGAGGTCATCCAGTTGTGTTGACTGAGATGGTTGTTGGCTGGACAGACACCTGTACAGCTGAGGTCATCCAGTTGTGTTGACTGAAATGGTTGTTGGCTGAGGAGACACCTGTACAGCTGAGGTCACCCAGTTGTGTTGACTGAGATGGTTGTTGGCTAGGGAGACACTTGTACAGCTGAGGTCATCCAGTTGTGTTGACTGAGATGGTTGTTGGCTGAGGAGACGGCTGTACATCTGAGATCATCCAGTTGTGTTGACTGAGATGGTTGTTGGCTGAGGAGACGGCTGTACATCTGAGATCATCCAGTTGTGTTGACTGAGATGGTTGTTGGCTCTGGAGACACTTGTACAGCTGAGGTCACCCACTTGTGTTGACTGAGATGGTTGTTGGCTGGGGTGAAACTTGTACAGCTGAGATCATCCAGTTGTGTTGACTGAGATGGTTGTTGGCTGGGGTGAAACTTGTACAGCTGAGATCATCCAGTTGTGTTGACTGAGCTAGGGCCCTTCGGAGCCATGAATCAATCATTAGGAGCGTTTCTGAGTTCATATATGTATGGAGGTCAACAGTTGGAGCAAGGATTTTCAAGATTGAATCATTTTGATAATCTGATTTGTCTGATCCAGATGTCTGTTGTGTCTAATCCAGATTATAACAGAAATTGACCAGATATGCAGAGATAGTACAGAAATGTATTGTCTGATACAGAAATGTCTTGGTCTGTTACATAAATGTGTTGTGTCTGATATCATATATCTGTTGTGTCTGATATCATATATCTGTTGTGTATGATATCATATATCTGTTGTGTATGATACCATATATCTGTTGTGTATGATATCATATATCTGTTATGTATGATACCATATATCTGTTGTGTCTGATATCATATATCTTTAGTTAGTTAGTTAGTTAGTTAGTTGGGTTATCCTCATTGCACTCCGGACATGTTCATAGGTGCTCAGATCCTCCCCTCAGTATGAACCCCAACGTCCGATGGCTAATAGTACCAGTTCTATGTTGATTAACAAGTCTTCTGGCGTAGCTGGTGTGCGTCTCGTTTTTTGCTGTGCCGATCTTAATTCCCAAGTCTGCCATTCTGGCGAGTGATGTGGATTCACTGCCACCAAAGTCCTCTATTCTTCCCATTTCTCTGAGGGCATTGATAATATCAGCATGATCCATAGGCTGACCGTCGGTAGTGATAGCGGATCCAGCCAACCTGTCAGCTCTTTCATTTCCATCGACGCCTGCGTGTCCCGGAACAAAAATAAAGGTGACTCCACAAACAGTGGACTTCTGTAATGATTCAAGCCATTGTCTTCGCACTGAGCCTGCCTGAACCCTCCGGATCATACTCATTGAATCACTGAGTATACACACGCGGGTGTATTTTTGTGTTTCAAGCCAGGCAAGCGCTTGTGTCACTGCCATCACCTCCATCGTCATGCTGCTGGTTGTCATGGAGAAAGCGCCGTTGGCTTCTTTGACTGTTCTGCCCGCTGAGCGTGCTGTAAATGCCCATGCGCTTCTTCTTTGGCGTATAACGGATCCGTCTGTATAGATTATTGCATCTGCTTCGTCTGAATTTTCACCGATGAGAGCGTTGACCTCTGCATTAACAGCAACAGGATTCTCTTCTCTACATCGCCTGTTGAGTGTGACAATACAGGAAAATGTACAAATAAACGCCTGAGGCACAGGTATCCATTCTGCACCAGGTATGATGTCGGTTAGGCTGCATATTTGCCTAATGACATCTTCTGCCCGACCTAGCCACGATTTCCCCCTCTTCAGTCTGTCGCCCTTATCATATATCTGTTGTGTATGATACCATATATCTGTTGTGTATGATACCATATATATGTTGTGTCTGATATCATATGTCTGTTGTGTATGATACCATATATCTGTTGTGTATGATATCATATATCTGTTGTGTATGATACCATATATATGTTGTGTATGATACCATATATCTGTTGTGTCTGATATCATATATCTGTTGTGTATGATACCATATATCTGTTGTGTATGATATCATATATCTGTTGTGTATGATACCATATATCTGTTGTGTCTGATACCATATATCTGTTGTGTATGATACCATATATCTGTTGTGTATGATACCATATATCTGTTGTGTATGATACCATATATCTGTTGTGTATGATACCATATATCTGTTGTGTATGATACCATATATCTGTTGTGTCAGATAACATAAATCTGTTGTTAATTATAGAGATGATTTAGAAATCTATTGTGTCTTGTTTGAAATCTAAAAATGAAAACCTCATATTGCCTTGACAGTTGATGATAAGCATTTCTTTGTTTAGTTAGTGGGTTGTTTTTTTTATATATGTTGTCACAAAAGAACTTCTAGTAATATTCACTTGATGTGTTGTTGTGACATTATTTTTATTTAGTGATTTGTCTCCTAATTACAACCTACATTACCATTATAAGTGAATGAAGTGTGATAAATCTTCTGATGTTCAACCCTAGTTAATTATGATCCAGAGATGTGTGGACTCAGGCGAAAGCTTCCTTAACTGTTTGAGCCCCAGGAAACGCATCATGGCTAATTTGTTTCAACCGCGCGGCCCAATCGACGTGTGACAAGTGAAGGTTTTTAATCTACCACTGACTGGTTGTAAAGCTCAATTTCAACTTCCTTTTGTTTTTTGTGTCTGATATCAGGCATGCTCATTTAGAAATGAGGTTTGAAAGACGAAAATCTAGTATATTTTCGAGATTTGCCAAGTTAATAAGTGTTTTTTTTTTTTTTTTTTTTAAATATGGCCACCAAGCAATATTCTACATGCATGCAAACATGATTTATGGCTTGAGAAGCCTTAAATTTAAATAAAGTAGGTGTTTATTCGATTTATCCGAAGTTAGATAGATAACGTTGCGGATTAGACATGTTTCAGTCATTTATAGAGTCAACCTTTGATGAGGGATATGTCTAATGTGTACCTCCATCGAAGGGTTCAACGATAGCAAAGTCAGCTGGCACAAATACAATAAACATTAGTAAAAAGATGATGTTCTTCAGTGTCAGGTAGTTCGAGTGCTATTCCCTTTAGTATTGAGGAAAATAACTACAAAATTACAGGCAAATTGAGTGTTATATAAACTTCATTTTGTGTGAAGATACTTATTGTTTTAAGAGTCAGTTTTTTTTACAAACTAATGGTGCTCTGTTATGATGCTTCAAAAGATTCTCTGGAACAAAATCGAATGTATAGATTATATTTTACTTATACATTACTTAAGTGGTTCATATTCATTTGTGATTTATTTTGGATATATTTTAACCAGTTTTCCTTGAGTGCCATGGTGGTAAGTGGAAGTTTTTTTTTTAAATATTATTTTACTAATTTTTGTAAACATAACATCTGTTTATTTATGTAATTACTAACGCAATTATTTGTTGTAGCTGTTTTCTATAATTATTCCTTAACAATCCCTGGTCACATTGATGTATTATAATATGTGGATGTTGCGCGGCAATTGAATTAGTATGGTCTGTTTTAATGTATTACACTTGTGAAATTAAAAATATATCATTACCACCTCTTTGGGCCTCTGATGCTAAACCCCCTGGAACTGAAAGAGTTAAGGGTCACAAGTGAAATCTGACATGACTGGGACATCCCCCTCTGTAGGAACATCATTGGGACATCCCCCACTGTAGGAACATCATTGGGACATCCCCCTCTGTAGGAACATCATTGGGACATCCCCCTCTGTAGGAACATCATTAGGACATTCCCTACTTAGGAACATCATTGGGACATCCCTTGTGTGGGGTCATCATTGGGACATTCCCTACTTAGGAACATCATTAGGACATCCCTTGTGTGGGAATATTATTGAGAAATCCCCTACTTAGGAACATCATTGGGACATTCCCTACTTAGGAACATCATTGGGACATCCCTTGTTTGTGAACATTATTGAGAAATGTCCTACTTAGGAACATCATTGGGACATCCCTTGTTTGGGAACATTATTGAGAAATCCCCTACTTAGGAACATCATTGGGACATCCCTTGTTTGGCAAAATTATTGAGAAATCCCCTACTTAGGAACATCATTAGGACATTCCCTACTTAGGAACATCATTGGGACATCCCTTGTTTGGGAACATT